AGGGGGGTTTTGTTGGGAATAAGCGGCGGGCTCGGGGTGCCCGGTGGCTCGTCCTGGTCCCAGAGCCCTGCAGAGCTGCTGCCACCTCCCACCTGCCCCAGCCGGGCCTTGGGGTGCCCGCTGAAGTGTCACCCCAGCCCTCATGGCGACATCCAGGCTGGCAGAGCCGCGTGGGACCGGAGCTCCCCTGGGAAGCGCTCGGGAATGCCCGGCGGTACTGGCACGGGTCGGGTGGTCGCTCAGCCCCCCCGGTGCTGCCTGTTGTGAGCAGCACAGCGGTGTCACCGCACCTCGCTGAGCCCCAGCTGAGCTGGGGGTGGTGACGCTCAGGGCAGGGTAATGCTCTTCCCTCCTGGCCCTGGGGAATGGAGGGCACCGGGAGCTAATGCTGCTTATTCCCAGAGCAGGGATTAGGGGGGAGAGCTGCCTTCTAGACTCCTGGAGAGACAGGGGCCTTATCCTGTACTGCTCAGCATGGAGAAGAGAAGGCTCCAGGGAGACCTGAGAGCACCTTCCAGTGCCTGAAGGGGCTCCAGGAAAGCTGGGGAGGGGCTTGGGACAAGGGCAGGGAGGGATGGGATGAGGGGGAACAGTTTCAAGCTGAGAGAGGAGAGATTTAGATGTGGTCTTGAAGAAATTCTTTGATGTGAGGGTGGTGAGACCCTGGCCACAGAGAAGCTGTGGCTGCCCCATCCCTGTTGAGGGGCAGGTTGGATGGGGCTTGGAGCAACCTGGGCTGGTGGGAGGTGTCCCTGCCCATGCAGGGGTGGGACTGGATGGGCTTTGAGGTCCCTTCCAAAACAAAGCAGCCTGGGATTCTGCACTTGCTGGCCTCAAGTGAGTGTGATCTGGCTTGGGATCGGTGGGACAACGAGCTGTGTCTGTGGCAGCCCTGAGGCTGGCACGGGGCTGCTTTCTGTTGCAGGTGGGCAGGCAGCAGGAGCTCACCATGGCCCTGGCAGACAACACGGGCTGTGCCAAAGCCGGCGAGGACTTCACTTTCCCTGAGATCATCGAACTCAACGTGGGCGGACAGGTCTACATCACCCGGCACCCCACGCTGGTCAGCGTGCCCGGCTCGCTGCTCTGGGAGATGTTCACCCAGAAGAACGCCCGCTCCCTGGCCCGCGACAGCAAGGGCCGTTTCTTCGTGGATCGGGACGGCTTCCTCTTCCGCTACATCCTGGATTACATGAGGGACCAGCAGCTGGTCCTTCCCGACCACTTCCCGGAGCGCAGCCGCCTGCAGCGCGAGGCCGAGTACTTCGCGTTGCCCGAGCTGGTGAAGATGCTGAGCCCCAGGCTCAGCAAGCAGAACTCCCTGGGGGACGACCCGTGCCAGAGCGACCCCGAGGAGCCCTCCCCCAGCGCCGAGGCCGCCCGCAGCCTGAGCTCTGCTGCCCCCCAACCCAGCGCCGGGCCCGGGGGCGCGATGGGCGCTGCGGTGG